AATTGACACGAAAACTTACCTGTGTCCGTATACATAACATTGTTCTGTTGATCCTGACCCCTCAATCTCTACCAAGATGTCACCAGATCGGTAAAACATGGTTTCTGCTGCAACAGCACATAGCATAGCCATACACATGTACATAAACTGTCCTATATTACTGGCTACAAACATTGGTGCGGTAGGCGAAACACTTTGAAAACGAATTAAATCTTAATTGCTCACGTATACTTTTTTTTTTATCGTTTTCACATGAAGCAAACCGTTATATATGTCAGTTTCAACTCGTATTTAGTTTTACCGCAAATTCTTATTACACACACAAACTCAGTCGACGTCTGTGTAAAAAATCTAGCCACAGAAAATTTTACCGCAAAAATTTAGTTTACAATCCGTGTGTCGTTTGAAAGAATTTGTGGACACTTTTACTTGACAAAAGTGAAGGAAGGGTTGAATCTACTGCCTTATATAATAAGTCAAGACATGTGAGTCAACTAAATCAAATATAAACTTTATCCTGGGTCCTGTTTCACGAAATTTTAGCTAAAGATAAAATCCAAATTTTAGTAGATACTTCAATTTTGATTGCTAAGCACTACAATCAGTCTAATATTATCCAATCAAATTACTAAAATTTCGATTTTATCTTAGTTAAAATGTCGTGAAACAGGCCCCAGTTCTTCCTTAAAGATGGGTTCCCAGAAAAGTATACGGGTGGTTATTTCCAATAAAAGTATGACAATTTTGGTATATATGGAAAGTAGAGATATCCAATCTTACTAGAAAAATACTAGATTCCCCGAAAAACACTCATGGAGCGTATAGGACAAAAATGTAAGGGTACCCCTAATCGACAGCCCGATTAGGAATTTCTGTACGCGTGATGTCAAAGGTCACACGCGAACATTTAGCGCTTGATGTACAAGTTAATAAACTTTGTGAAGAGTTAGACGTACAACACTTTCTGAGATAAAAATGGCGGAAAAGACGCGGGTAGTGGATAATCCGAGAATTTAATTAGGATTCGATATTTGTAATAAATAGTAAGCGATTAAGACAACATCGTCTTATGTATGCAATGAACTCTCCTGTATTACAATGTATTAGAAGGATTTGAAGCAAAATTATGACAAATTAATTAGTTTGAATATGTTTTTAGTCCATATATACCATTAAATCACCCAGTTTGTACGCGGGAATGTATGTGCAAAATTTGAAATAAATATACCAAACCATACTTTCAATTTACGAAACATTATTTTCTCGTTGGGGGTGTTAATGTCTCTTTAAAGTGAAAGTGTCTACGTCTCGAGACAAAGGTTAAAGTTGCCACACTAATTATAAGAGTTCAGTTATCTACCCTTGTCTATTAGTACGTGCAGGGGGACTGCACCACACATAATTTACACAAAACATATCTACGGACAAAACACAATACAAAGAAGTCACAAACATACGAACATATCAAATTAAGTGAATGGATCCGGGGGCTAGTCGTAAGCGGCCACTGCGCTGTACAGTCCCGGGCCTGTAGTGATACAGACTTCACTCAAAATCGAAAACAAACACCCAGGGAGAAAACCATTGTGTAATACCAGCATGAGTCATGACCTGCTATATGTCACATGAAATGTTTATTACATCTAGTGGGGGTAAGAAGGTACGTATCATTATTATAATATTGAAAATTCACACAATATGAATTTCAGGTAAAAACTAGTCCACATTTGACCTACTCTCGTTTTCAAAAGGAAATAATCTATTATCCGCGACAAAAACTATTTAGAACATACCTATTAACATATACATTCTGAGAATCGTCGCTTTAAAGCATCGTATGTGTTTTAACCGAAAGGTCCAAAGAACTGTTGGATAATATTCAATAGAGCAAATCTCAACTTGGTCACCATACTTCCAAACCTGCGTATTTGTGAAGGACCGGATAACACCTTACAATTTATAAATGACGGTTTTCAACTTCTCATAAATTACTCGATTCCCTTTGTACATGTTATTAAGGGGTATCTCTGGTTGGTCAGCATTAACTAAGTATTGTTGTGTTCATGTATATATTATCTTGTCATATTTTCATATTTTATCATTGCTTGATAATGACTAGAGAAGCCTAGTCGAAACGTCGCTCAGTAATAAGCAGTAATTGTATTCCATAGAATTGTGACCTGTATACTCCAGTTCAATTACTAAATGCCATTGAAACAATTTCCTAACTGAGATCTCAGACTTTCTGAATGACCTACAGACGTTTGCTGGGGATTTCAACCTCCATTTAAACAAATCCAATGACTTACAATCCATCCAGTTCTGCGATCTTCTGAATTCATGTAATAGGAATTCAGCCTGTACTTGTAATCAGTATTTATGAACAACTGTATTTATATAGCTCAATATTTTTAATTCGACAGGGATTACGTATATCTAACTTTTGTAAATATTCACATGATGTAAATGGTCTCTGATCCCTTACTAGGCTATATACCGAGTGTTTGTGACTCAGCTAATTCGTTACGCGAGAGCTTGTTCCTTTTATTCTGATTTTTGTAAGTAGATCGACGCGTTTGTCATCTAAGCTTCAACTACAAGGACACTTGCGCACTAAACTTATTAAAACCTTTAACAAGTTTTATGGCCGTCATATTGATTTGATTGGTAAATATAACGTGTCTCTCTCGGCTATTATTCTAGATTATATTTAATTGACACGTATACTATTACTATCTCCCTGATAATGTCTACTACATCGTTGACACAGTTCATCGCGTGCATTTTGCATACCGATAGTTCATTTCGCCTAATAGTTTGGATGTAGCTATGGCGGGTGTGGCGCCAGGCAGGGTAAGCTTACTCTTCCGGACACCTGTTACCACTGTTTGTCGTGTATTTTGTACACGAGGAGCAGTCCATTTGCTGATTACACTATTTTGCTTGAATACACTATTTTGCCTATAACGTTTTTTAGGACTTCGAATTCTGTCTTATGGTTTGGGTTGTTCGTACTTGGTTTTATTTTATTTTAATTCAATATTAATATTATACTTGAAAAATAGGGAAAGATTCTATGAATATCAGTGAATAAATCCGGTTAATTTTCCGTGAAAAGAAGAAACCTTTAATTCTATTCTAGTTATGTTTTTATGGCCCTATTCGGAGAAATACAAACTTTTAGCTTCCTTAGCTTATTATGTACAATATGAACGTTTATTTAGTGACTATAAATGTGCGGAACAGATTTAAAGATTGGTATATATATATATTGTGGTGTAATTGTCGAGATATTTATTTATGGTGGGGCACCCTACTTTAGTGAATTCACCTGTTGTTTTCTATTTTGTTCTTTCCCACAGTTCCTGGTTTGAAATGATCCTTCTTAGATAAGGAATGTTTGCATTCAGTTGAGCAATGAAATACCTTAAATATACATCTCTACAAAATTTGGTATACATGAAAAGTAGAGACATCACTCTTATTGGAAATACCGGATTCACGGAAAAACACTCATGGGGCTCACAAGATAAATATGTATGGGTGTCACTGACTGTCAGCCTGTCTGCTCGAGTGACGTACTGAGCGCTTCTCGTGTTGGTCCGATGACTAACAGTTATGAGAACATTGAGAGGCTTAAGTTAAACGCACAGTATAACCTGCGATTAAACGGGAGAAAAAGAAGTTGACAGGGGATAATCCATGAATTTACTTAATCCTCGATATTAATGGTAAATGGACAGAGACAAATACAATTTGAAAATGAGTTCTCCCTAAGTGAATTGACATACAAGACTACTGCAGATTCTTGCAGTATGGGGTTTCTTGAGCGTAAAGTATGTTGAGGGAGATTTTAAGCAAACTTTTGATACATACATAAGTCTAAATATGTGTTTGTCCAAATATATCATCAAATCACAGTTTGTTAGTGGGAAGGTATCTTTTAAAAAAGACTTTATATCAGTTGCTTAACACCGTGATTAATTAAGTTTTGTGGTTATTTTCGAATGACCGAATATTTTGATTTAAACTTTCTTGCAAGGTACAGATTTCATTGCTTTACGCAAATCCACTTTTCCCAACGGGTAGCCCATGAAAACTCAAATTGTACCTGTAACCCAGGCTTATCGGTTTATGAAAGAAATTCATTAAACACTAACCAGTGGTTTTGTTTACATTTTAACATTTTCAATTTGTTTCAGACATTGTTAATAATAGCCCAATCTTCATTTTTTATTGAAAAAAATACAAATACATGTCCTAAAAGGTGACCAGAATGTAACGTCATTTAACATGATGATCAATGTTGGGGGGGGGGGGGAAGTATACATTTCACTGATATGGTTACTTGTATAGGTAATTTTTACTTCAATATTTTTACATTCGTATTTCATGTGACATATATCAGATCATGACTCATGCTGGTATTACACAATGGTTTTCTCTGGGTTATATTCCTGGGTGTTTGTTTTCGATTTTGAGTGAAGTCTGTATCACTACAGACTGGGACTGTACAGCGCAGTGGACGCCCCCGGATCCATTCACTTAATTTGATATGTTCGTTTGTTTGTGATTTCTTTGTATTGTGTCTTGTCCGTAGATATGTTTTGTGTAAATTATGTATGGTGCAGTCCCCCTGCACTTACTAATAGACAAGGGTAGATAACTGAACTCTTATAATTAGTGTGGCAACTTTAACCTTTGTCTCGAGACGTAGACACCTTCACTTTAAAGAGACAAAATGAATGTAAATAATGTTTCGTAAATTGAAAGTATATATGGTTTGGTATATTTATTTCAAATTTTGCACACGCATACATTCCATATAACTATACAATCAACTGTCAGTGAATTAAAAATGATATTAAAATTAGCCTAGAAAGACCTCGGAAAGGGCTGTTGTCTCTTTAAGCAACGATATTTTATAAGTAAAGAGTGAAACACGTTTTGTGTTGTTAAGAAGAACAGGATACAGTTTATATTTGATTTGGTTGACTGACGTGTCTTGACTTATTATATAAGGTAGTAGATTTCAACCCTTCCTTCACTTTTGACAAGTAAAAGTGTCCACAAATTCTTTCAAACGACACACGGATTGTAAACTAAATTTTTGCGGTAAAATTTTCTGTGGCTAGATTTTTTACACAGACGTCGACTGAGTTTGTGTGTGTAATAAGAATTTGCGGTAAAACTAAATGCGAGTTAAAACTGACAAATATAACGGTTTGCTTCATGTGAAAACGACAAAAAAAAGTATACGTGAGCAATTAAGGTTTCGTTTTCAAAGTGTTTCGCCTACCGTACCAATGTTTGTAGCCAGTAATATAGGACAGTTTATGTACATGTGTATGGCTATGCTATGTGCTGTTGCAGCAGAAACCATGTTTTACCGATCTGGTGACATCTTGGTAGAGATTGAGGGGTCGGGATCAACAGAACAATGTTATGTATACGGACACAGGTAAGTTTTCGTGTCAATTATGTAATATGTAGCTATAATCTTGTATTTGCCGACATACTGACCTGACAGAACTATTCATTATAATACATATGTTGATGACTGTTTCTATGGCAAACAACAACCAAGACTTTTTTTTAAATTTCTTAAACCTATACTCATTGGATCTGTAGCTAGAAATAAATTGGTGGAAATTCAGAATCACTGATAAAGATGAAAGTTAAAGTCAATATTATTATTCCTGTTCAGGTCTCAAGCCGTGTCGCTTGAACAGTAAATGACCGAGGCCTCAAAATAGAAATCTGTGGTACAATAAATTGTAAGCTGGGTTTGTTATCTTTATATTTTGTAAAAGTTTATAGCTTAATACAGATTTAGTATTGTTTATTTTGAAGTAAATTACTATAATGGCTGTGTATTTTGTTAATTAGAGATATTATAAACCAAATACTGAAGGAAGAGAAATCATCAGCTGTTACACCAATCACACACCAGGAAATCCATAGCATCATCAAATCCTGTACTACAAATGTTAACACTCTTTTAAAAGTCTCCACCACAAAGAGATATAAAAGACAATTAATTTACCCGGGTATGTCGGAATTGTTTTTTAAATTCTTTCTTTGGAAGTATCTCATTTTCCCCTGCCCTCAACCATAAAAAAGTCCGGAGTATAAGTTACGCATTACAAGATTCATTTTTAGATTTGTGTATCCGATGAATTACGATCGACGGAGTAATTTTTTCACCCCCCCCCCCCACACACACACACCCTTACACACACTTTCATATACCGATGTGGGGTTTTGTTAAATCAACCTTTACAAAAATTGGGCACTGATGACACTGGAAAATTCAACACTATTAGGGAATGGGCTTTGTTGAATAATTTCTATTTCTTTTTTGGTATATTTGTTCAATATTTACAGGGGGTTGGATGGCTGAATGGTTAGCGTGCGCCCGCTGTATCATAAAGTCTGTCACTGAGTTGACTGGCGTGGTTTCGAATCCCCGGTTGTACGTGACAAGGAGTAGGGTCGCCTGTCTATCCTCGTGGTTTCCTCCCACTGCTAAAGACCCCTATGCGCAAGCGAATTCTTGAAATAAAATTTTAAAAAAAACATATGTTAGTCCCGAAATGACCTAGTTTGTGTCGAGTGGACGTTAAACCCATCTCTCTCTCTCTCTCTCTCTCTCTCTCTCTCTCTCTCTCTCAATATTTACAATGGTTATAGACCACGATACAACTGATATAATTATACAACGGTAAGAACACTGTACTGTTGTTTACTGTATATATAACTAAATATGTTTTATTACACCATAAAGCTGTCTGTATTGTTAAACCTCCGTGTTTCATACAATGATGTTATTTTTTGTCATTAAAATACACAGTTTTCCATTAATCCCAACAGTGTTTAACAGTATTAAATTCTACGGACTGGCGTTGTGGGTTTTAGAGATGTTGCCATGGCGAAAGTTGCACCATTTCTAGCTCATCAGACAAACAGCCCAACGGGTTTACGTCATACGACGTATATCCGACCATTGTAAGTTTTTAAATTTGCGACATTACGATGGATTTCAACCGATTTTGGTAGGTAAAAAAAAGTGTCTTAAATTTTTCCTTTAAAGTGGCATTATGGAAGATTAGATAAAGAGCTGGCAGTTTTCGCTATAATACTTAAAAAATAGATAATGTAAAGGGGATGTACTGAAAATTTCAGTCAAATTATTCCATTCTAAGCCGAGAAATCCGTATTTTAATAACACTATAGTCTCGGTTGTCATTGTTATAGTTGTTACGATAATAGACAGTCTCGATTATCCATTTTTTACGGTTAATCATCAACGGCCGTCGAACCACAAATCGGATTCAAATCTGTGGAAAATCGGATACCATCTGATTGCCATTTTGAACTCAAATTAGGGTTCAAGTTCAATCTTGTTTCTTAAAGGGCAAAACCCGATTATATTTTGGTGAATAAAACTGCTTAATTTTGTGTTAAAAACCCTTAAAATCCTCTACTTAGGGCCGAGAAACTAACTCAATATATGTCTTCATATGGAAATGTTGACCGGTGTCCGAAGCTGTATTATACTGTGTCTGGATAAAACCAGACTTTTATTTTATAAAAATAAGGTGTAGGTGAAATTTACATTTCGTTATCAAGTACAGCACATGGGCCCTGCACTGTATAGACCTCTAAAGGAAAGGCGATCGATTATCAGGTCACCCAGCTGAAAAATCGACCCGAAATTAAAACGGTTAGGTGTCTCGATAAGCGGTTTTGACGTTCAATATTTTGAGCTGAAATTTGGAGACAAGGTACATACACCATTCCTCTATATTTTTGAGACTCTGTTCAAATTGGGATAGTCCCTTTAAAAGCCATATAATGTTCGTTGGCCGGTGTTTTACCTATACATTTTAATTTGAAAATGAAATATTTTGTTAGAAGAATTACATTGAATTTTAATTGGGATTTGTTTTCGAATTTGTTAATATCATCATGTAAAATGTATTATCCAAAATGTATGACAGAAGGGGATAGATTACTGTATATTCTATTGAATAAATAGATGCTCGATGCTCTTCAGTTTCAGACTGTGGCAGAAATCACATATACCAGAAGCGACTTTTCCAATTTTAGATAATCGATTATTTGTGTATAGTATTTTGTGTATATATTTAAACTGGAAAATCCCAACTTTTGTATATGTACAAATATTATTACTAAATATCGATTTTATAGTTTTTCATCTATTTGTCTACCTAAATATTCTTCCCATTTTAATATATCAGTTGGTTTAATAAACTACACATTAATTCTTTCAAAATAAATATCCTTTGACTTTAAAGTGTGTCTGAATGAACATTATAGAATAGATTCAAATTATTTTTTATTCTTAATTGATAATCATCTTTACTCGCACGCGAGATATTTAGTATTTCGTTTTCAATATTTAATTTGTGATCTTTGCATAATTTACTTATTGCAAGTTTCAAACCCCCAGAAAGGAGTTTTTTCGCTGGACTGAAGTGCCTTGGTTGGATAGTTAAGGAAGTTGTGTAAATATTGAATTTCTACTCAAGAATTGCAAAGTGTCATTGGTTGTTTTGTTAATCAAATTTTTATTTGTATACGTTACTTGGTTTGTTATTGGAACTCTATCTCCATATTTTTGAATTGTATATAATATACCAGTTTGTGAGAAATGAATACTAAATTTTGCATATTTACGGTTAGAATTACTTCCAGATCAAAGTAGAGGGTTATAGGGTGAAATGCAGAATGAAACTATTTTAAACAATGGACTAGTGTTACCTGGGAATATTTTATTAATCCAAAGCAAGTATTTACAAGTTAAATATTCATGAATATCAATCATTTTTAAACCACCATGAGAGGAGTCCTTACAAATTACCTCCCTTTTTATTTTATAGTGTCTTTTCCGTAGAAAATTGTATAAAAATGTGTTTAATTTGTCGGCAAAATAATCAGGAATATAAAGTGACTGTAGTTGAAAGACAAAAAGTTACAACTATTTTACCCATCAATATCAATTGGTTTTTAGTTCATTAAGTTGATTTTCAAAGTTCAACTGATAACGGATTTTTGTGTCAAAGGAAAAAATAAATGCCTAGGATTTTAATTGAGGAGGTACATTGCGACAGAGTCAGGAAAAGTTGCTTGGCCAAAATTATTTATATATTGGCAATGAAGTTTTAAAGTGTTTGTTATTTTATATTTTTCCCAGGAACCAAATGGTGCGGCGCTGGTAACATATCATCAAATTATTCTGATTTAGGTGAACACGCTGAAACAGACCAATGCTGTAGAGAACATGATTATTGCCCAGACTATATACTACCATTCAAATCAAAACATGGTTTAACTAACTATGGTTTAATCTCCAAGTAAGTCTAGTTGTAATTTCTGTGAAAAATCACCACTCTTCGTTTTTCAATTCTAATTAAACACTTTGTTTCAGGAAGCTAACCATCTTCGATTTGTTGATAAAGTGTTGAATTGTGGTATGACTTGTAACTTTGATTGGTGATAGGAATAAATTTTCTTTTAAATATTAAGCAGACGTCAATTCCGCACTATTAATAATAAACTCTATCATAACAGTAGATTCAATATAACTTTGGAGATATCTTATTAACAAATATCCAATTTACTCTTCTCTTAACTTGTCGAGATTTGACAATAAAGTTACATCTGAAATGATCAAATTAGATAGTATGCAGAATTGGACCCGGTCTCTCATCCCATCGCTTAAATGTAATAGACATGTTTTCAGATTCATTGCTAATCGTAAACAGTATTGTTTTCAGTGGTTTTCAACCAGTTAAACGGACCTGGTACAAAATGCTTCTCTGTTTAGTAGGCCAGTGCTCATTATAGCAAGAACGACCAGGGACCGGTTGTTCAAACTCTAATGGGTCGTTGCCTTGCTAACGTGTCGTTTGTTAACGGTCCGTTAAATTTCTATTGCTGGAAAGTCAATTAGCTAACGTACTGATTAAAGTTAATCCAAGAGAAGACAGTTTGGGCATTGGCTGATTTTAAAATTTTAATTCAATGTACATGTACATGTATATCAACTTTATAGAAGTTAGTATTAACGAGAAACGGAAGAAAGTGGGAAAACTGGACAGTCTGTTCATAAAACTTGATTAAAGACAAAATGATAATTCTAGAATTTCCTAAATCTGTTGTAAAAACTATAAGATTTGTACCACGGAATCTGTATAATATTTAGGGCCGTTATTTCCTACAGGCCCCCTAAATTCTGTAGAAAATGGGATGCCCCCCCCCCCCACACACACCAAACTCGGCAGCATGTTCTATAGAAAACTACAGTGGTATTTTATAGGACTTTATACTAAGGGTATACTGACAGCCGACTAATGCCATATTTGGGTCCGTTATTTCCTAAAGGCTCCCTAAATTTTGTAGAAAATGGGATGTCCCCCCCCCCCACCAAACTCTTCAGCATGTTTTATAGAAAACTACAGTGGTATTTTATAGGACCTTTTACTAAGGGTATACTGACAGCCGACTAATGCCATTGTTATACCGACACATAAAGCTGTAGTTCTCAACCTTTTTTTTTTTGGCAACGGCACACCTTGGAACACATGAAAAAATAGCGGCACACCTGGCTAAATATATATGAAAAATATTTGAATTTCGCAAAATAAAAACATGGTAAGTCATAGACGGCATACAGCCGTAGACACAGACTATAAACATAGAATGACTCAAGCTAAAATAAAGGAAAATACAGCTATGCACGTACCAGTAGACACCACTGAATGCTCAATTGGTAACGAGTCGTTGCAAGTTAACGAAGCTTTCAACAATCGGACGCAGCTCTCTGTATCTACATCATACATAGAGCATCTTTATAAATTACACCCTTTTCTTGTGTATTGTAGATCCCACTGCGATTGTGATAACACCTTTTACAACTGTCTCAAAGCCACCACAGAGAAAGCTGGCAATGAAGTCGGTCATTTGTTTTTCAATATTCTAGAGATACCCTGTTTTAAAGTGTTCGATGTTGAAACCTGTCTAAAGAAGGGGTTTGTATTTATCTTCATGTTATATACAAATGTAATTGTTTCAAGTGACCAAAAATGAAAAGAGGTTTAACGTCCTACTTTTTTGCGCCAATCGAGATAAGGAAGACGGCCGGGTATAATAGCCAGAAACTGTGTGAAACAGTAACACCATTACGATGTGACATTTGTAATATCAAATAATGATTGAGGTAAAATAAATACAGTCTCAGTTACTTTATCCAGTAATACAATTATAAGTTATTTAAGCCATAAATAATACAATAATTGTAGTTTATTTGGTTGTAAATACGTGTAGGACCTACATGTTGGCGTGGGATGTATGTAAGATAATCCTCCACAGTTGAACTTCAATTGCTAACCCGGCAAAGCACACTGTATGTATGTCCGTTTTCATTAGCACGATTGGTGTAGAAAAGTACGACGTTAAACTCCATTCTATTCATCCATTCATTCTATAACCATAAAGGTCTATAATTTACGACTAGACAGTCATGGCAAACTACTAAGGTTAAACGCAGGAAAGCCGAGAAAACATAGAGAAGAACCAATCTGGAAATTCACAGACAAATTTCCAATAAGGCTCGAACTACCACTAATAATTTAATTGAATTGGTTAAACGATCCTTCACTAAGGACTGTCTGTTATCAAACAAACATAATCCACGTGAAGTCTACAAAATTACAAACAGTCTGCTAAAACCAAGACAAGCAAAAGTTCTGCCATCGATTCAAAATGATGCTAGCCTATCAGATCAATTTTCTGAATTTTTCCACGACAGTCTCCACCATTCGACAAGTGTAAATAAACCAACAAACATATTCCTTGAGAAAAAGTTTGAAGGTTGCACACTTGAGAACTTTTGTCTAGCAACAGAAGATGAGATAAGAGAAACAATTCAGAAATCAGCCCTAAAGTCATGTCCCCTCGATCCTCTGCCAACATGGATACATACTAAAGAAGTCCGAAGTGGAGTTAATTCTAGTGATCACCCAAATCGTGAACACGTCTTTAGTAGGCGCAGAAGTATGTGAAACGCTTAAAACATCCCATGTGACGCTCCTCATTAAAAATCAACCCTTGATCCTAATGTGCTAAAAAATTAATCTTTCATTTCGAAAATTATAGAAAACATTGTCCTTAATCGTTTTAAATATCATTTGTGTGAAAACAATCTCCAAGAAAAATTTCAATCAGCATACAAAAACGGCACAGTACGGAATCCGCCTTACTTCGTGGTCACAGTGATATCGTATGCAGCTTGGATAGGAAGAAACCGGTGTCGCTAGGTTTGTTGGACTTGAGAGCGGCATTTGATACGATAGCTCAATCAATCCTACTCGGGAGACTTGAAACTCGATACGGTATATCCGGAGACGCACTGAAATGGTTTCAGTCCTATCTGAGTGGAAGACAGCAGAGTATTGTTATTGATGCATCTCAATCAATGCCTAAAGTTCTTGATTTTGGTGTTCCCCAGGGATCCGTATTGGGATCGGTTTTGTTCACAGCATACACTGCACCAATTCGAGATATGATCCCTGAGATGGGTCTTAATTACCACCTCTATGCGGATGATACCAAGTTATATGTTGAACTTGATCCTTCACCAGATACTTGGCGAGGATACTTGATAGTGAGGCAGACAACTGTTCAAATCTGTATAGAAGTAATAAAATTTGCAAAGGTGTCAAATGTTTATATGGTCATTTATTAAGAAATTCATGTTAGCCACTTGAATTTCCAAAATGGCGGTCTTTTTCTAGATTGGTTGAAAATTTCGGTTTTTCTTTAACAGAATTTTACCCACTGGACCGATTGAGAAGATTTTATACGCCCACATTTTAATGTGGACATCTTATGCTAAGGGCAGAGGAGCGTATTTTTTCGCCAGATTGCACCGACTGAAATTCATCGAGCGTACGCCTTTCTGTGGGTAAATTACGTCGTTCTGCCATTCGTCCACATTTGTTTGCGGACAGTCTAGAGCCAACAAGCGTGTGTCCGATTTAGGTGAAATTTGACATACATGTTAAGGATCAATAGAGTAGGACACCTTGGTGTGATTTTATCGCAGAAAAATGATATTTTCGTTGCCTGAAAGTCAACCATCTAGGGTTTTCGAGTGGCTTGATGGACTTTTTCAAATGGTTAGTCCTCAGGAAGGTTTAGTGTCAGTTTTGATACTTGTATAATGGGAACGATTTCTCTTTTTCATGCAGTTATCTTCTTTACCATTAATAAGATTTTTTTCTGTCTATTTCAGGTGGTGGTTTACTTGTAATAAAAGAGGACGTGCTAAACGTGCGAGATTTATCTCAAATAAACGATTTTAATTTCTCTTTTTTATCATCTGAGTTTATTTTATATATTTTCTTTATATTCTCTACGTTGAATTTTCTAATAAAGATTAGCATTGTTTCAATATTTATGTAGACAAAAAAGATACTAATCCGAAAGGAAGTTCTAAATTTACATTCAGAACTGACCATTACTATCTGATTATTGTGGGTATCAATCTCATTAGACTGGTTTTGAATATTCACAAATAAAATATTAGAACATAAAAAAAGTTAGAAACGAAACGAAATATAGTCACTAAGGCCCAATTCAAAATCAACCAACGGCATAGTTCCGACTAGAGCTGGACGGTAAATCCCACCACAGCGGAAAATGTAAAATCCTTTCGGGGGTTGGTGCATCCATAGTCGTCCATATGTGACGAAACACATTAAAATGCACATAAAAGAACCCCTGACTGATATCCGGTACACATTTCAATTTTAGCACATTATGTCCACAAGTTGACCAGAAACATGGGACGTTTTAAAAAATCCCATTTCATTCCCTAGCGAGTATAAATTTACAATCTAATATAAACCCATAATTGGTATTGAACTTCATATTCATAACTGACGAAATAATCAGTCTTTCTCAATTCCAAACAACCAATCAATCGTTTAGTCCATGGAGCGCCGAACGTCGCGTGGTATGGGAAATTTGCCGTCCCCGAGAAAACTTTGAAAGTTTAACCGCCGCAGATGCTCTTCTCTGCTGGGGGATCACGTAGCTAAGTGGGTAAGACGCTGGCTCGCTAGGGAGGTCGGGTGTTCGATCCCTGCATTGCCCGAGAAAGTTCATCCCGATTTTCCGGCGTGGTTTCCCCTTGTCAGTGATGCAGGACGGAGGGCCTGACAAGGACAGCTGTCAAGTCGTTCGGATGGGACGAAAAACCGAGGTCCCGTGTACACATTGACGTGCACGTAAAAGATCCCTTGGCAGTTGGAATTCGATATAAGAGTAGGCCGTAGCGCCGCTGCCAGGGCAAAATTTCCCTTATAGCACACTGTAGGACGTTAAACCCCATTTCATTTCATTTCATTTCTTCTCTGCTGTTCTAGCCCGTGGGCCATGCCTTGTCTTAGTTATTGATAGCTCTTAAATTATCATGAATGGTCGGTATTATAAGTATTGTAATTTTAAATTTACAAGACATAAAGATCTCTATGTCTATTTACGTATTATTATTTCTTTTAACATTTTAATAATTCATTTTTTGAACGTCAATATGTATGTATTTATTCATATTTTATATTACATACATACTTTTTTATTGCATACATACTTTTATATCACATGTATGGCCTATTATATTGTATCTATTACTTTTATTCATTTAAACCAAATCATAACTTACGGGAAGGTTAGAAGATAAAATCAATTCAAAGATTTTTACTTTTTTTTTTCATTTAAGAAATTAGCCAACAAATAACGAGTATATTACTTTTCCCTTTGGTGTCCTGTGCAGGTAAACCCCATCTCTCAATCACCCATTATCTTTACATAGAAAATTGTTTGGTCTTGGGTGCGACGTCTCACAGTGTTTCTACGGTATCAAGATAAAAATCGTCTTTAGGAATATTACAAAAATGTTCATACCCCCCCCCCCCCCAAAAAAAAAACTGGCGAGCAAATTTGTGATTAATTACAGACAACTATAATACATTAAAATGAAATGGACATCTTTTTGTTTTTACCGGGGATGGGAGCAAATGGTCTAACGCGTGCGCTTTAGATCATAAGGTTTGTGGCCATAGGCGTACGGGCCCGTTTTCCTTAGGGACTGTATCATTTTTGCCAGAAAAATACGGCGGCAGCGCCCGAAATATGTATCTACATAACTTTACCAGATAGCGCCCAATAATAAAATCACAAAATAATCGTAGTAAAATCTCGAAAATGACGGCAAGTAGAGCCTAGCGGAGCGTAGTTTCTGGAACTGCAGTTTGAATTTAAGAATTAGACACCCTGAATCAAAATCATAATTGTGTGATTTTCTGAAACTCTGAACTCCGGTTGGGAATTGCATTACCCCACCCAATTGTCAGTAAGAGTCCCGGATTTCTGAAACTTCATTTTGTGGGATGGGATAATTTTTCCTTTTATATATCCATTAAAATTTCCTTTTTTTCATCAGATGGCCACTGTCCGAAAAATTAGATAATCGCCCGAAAAAAAATTGCCCCCTCCCCCAACACAAACACACCCGACTCGTACGCCTTTGTTTGTGGCGTGGTTTTGAGGAGTGGGGTCGCCTGTCCAACTGTAGGTTTGCTCCTCATGGTCTTCCGCTGCTAAGAACCTTACTCGCAAGCGAATTATAGAAGTCCTGAAATGGCATAGTTCGTGCCGAGTGAATCTCTCTCTCTCTCTCTCTCTCTCTTGCGATACCCCAGGAAATATTTATACAACTAATATTGTTTTCCAGTTTTTAGGCCTTTTTATCGACCACTGATTAGCCAAAGTAATTTACAGCTAATCGGCGCATTTAACGAATTCGCCAAAGTACTTTGAAATCGATTATACTGTCACATGACATCTCCACTAAATTCTAAATGATTTAGCATGTCGATTTCTATTTAGACATGATTTTGATTTATTCCTGTTACTTGTATCCAAACTGCACGCAGGGATCCATCTACGTGTTCTCAGGCGGAGCTAGCTGTAGACAGGCAGCCTAAGTTTGGGATGACTTGTATCTTGATAAAGATTATTTCCACCACAATAATTACAAGGCAATTTCTTGGAACATCCGCCTTTGGTTTATGGTTTAAACCTTCCGACACAATATCGTGATTTTAATATTTGTAGGCCAACAAAAACTCAACAGCAAAAAAGCAATCAAAAATTCTATTCCAAAATGGAGAATAAAGAATGGTCTATACTGAAGATAGATTCGTAAAAGTAATGAGGTCAGCTGGTCCTTTACACCCCAAAATACATGGACATACGCTTTTAGTTTTGTTAACAAATATTAACACATAAATAAGAGTTGCTTTTGGGAAACTAATTGATATATGCATGGACCTTATAATGCATTCTAAGGTCCATGATATATGCGTTTCGCCTGTTAAATGATGTTTCAGGGGAAACAACTCATACCATTCTAATCTCTTACTAAACCACTGTTTTGGATGCTTTTGGATCGTCCCTTATCGTAAGAAGAACTGAAGACCAATTTAGAAATGGTAACGCTTAATGTAGCAGCTAGTTCCCTATTATATTAACGAAGTGTGACTATTGGAAAAAGATTTCACATCGGTGCAGGAAGGGGGGCTCAGCAAGGAACAACCTAGTCGTTCGGGTGTGACGAATTAAACCGAGGTCCCTGCTCAGCTACATAATTTTTTTTGTAAATCAACACCGTTTATGAGAAAAGTTTCTCTGCCGTGTGCTTTATCCTTTATCGTCAGATGTGTGACAGGATGGGCACTAATGATATAGTGCCGATAATGATATAGACATTATTTATGTGATATCACAATTAATGCTTTGCATCCATGAAATTGAATCACAATGTCATTGTATTAATTCATAATAAAAATTGACGTCAAACGAGGTTTTGAATTTCTCTGTTTAAAAACCTCAATGTGTATGTATATACGCCAAAATGACGACAGAGACCATGCGGGAGGGGGGGGGGGGATATATTGTCTCAGGAACCTGCATGGCAAACCCCCTCCTGCAAAAATTCCTGGATCCGTCCCCCCCCCCCTACTAAGAATAAATTTATTAAATGTTGGAATATTATAAATAAATTAGTAATAAAAATATGGATTTAGGTAACATATATAAATATAATTTTGATAGATTAAAGGCTCAATACCACTCTTGTTGTAACTGAATAATATGTCCCAATCTTTATTCTGGTCAACAAATTGTACTATTTTACAATATTCCAATTAATTGATGATACAAATTTCATCTTAACACACCTAATTTAAAAAATTGGAAAAATTCAACTTTAAATGATTTGAAAAGCCTGACGTAAAGCTTTTCAAATGTGACTTGGATTTAAAAATATTTTTGAACCCTCTGGACAAGTAAAATAGGATTTAATGGATAATTTACACAACAGGTAGGACACCAAAACATCTAGTACTTAGAATAAGGCTATTTTTTTTATTTTTTGGAGCTGTCAAGCCAGCAAGAGTGTTATTGTCCCTTTAAATAATACGATAAAATACCAACAAATTAGCTTTCTATAGTTTATTGTTGACACATGTTTTGTTGGACAATATTTTGGATTCACCGCATGGATTAACTCAATTTGTCAACGATCACGTGATTAGTTGTCAGGTACGGGTCTGGTATAATCAAGACAGTGTACCGGTACAAACGTGCATCGTGACGACATAATGTAAACATGTTGACTAAACTTCTAGTAAAGTTGCACAATACACGATATGTTAGCTACCGACAAATAAACGGAAAAGATTGAGGAAATTGATGGGTCATTCTATTCTTGGATGACACGTTTAGAAGATAGTATTATGTACATGTAAGTATATATTCTAGATATAAATTTGTTTAATAATAAAAACAGTTATATATAAATATATAACATGATTGTGATTTGCTTTAAAATATTAATGTAACCCAGCAAACAATACGACGTCGTTATAACGTTGAGTTAAAAACAACCATACCCTTGAGTTACAAACAACCATACCCTTAAACCCACACCACACACCACACCACACCAGACTATAGATGTAATTTAAAATAAAATAATATGAAACTAAATTTTTTTTTGTCTTTCGAAATGAAAAAAACAAAAAAAAACAAAGCTTAACGTATGTCAGATTTTATTTTTGTTCTTAACCCAAGTTTCAAGTGTATGAATTACTCTTCTTCAATACTATATTTAAAATAGTAATATTTGAAATTATTGTTAATATTGATGTTTGTTTATATAAAGAAGAGGGGGGGGGGCGGCTAAATAATTTGGCCGCAAGTACTCTTTTCACCGGGTTATTGCACTCAAGTAATTATGACGTTAGATACAACATGGTTTGATTTTAACATAGAAGTGATCATGAGACTTCTAGAATGTAGACTTTCAGAAGAAAACCATGTTATGCTCTATACAGATCCCTGGGTAAAGGGACTCCCAGTTGCGAGGATCAGGATTAGTTAACTGGACAGTCGATCTTTATTTCAACCCCAATATATGACAGATTAGCTAATTAAAAAAACGTCGGGATAGAGTTTTTCTTACATTCTTTATAACCAGTTAAAATGCATCCACATTTTCCAAGAAATGTATGGGGAAGAGGTAAAATCAATAGGGCTCATCCTCTCATTCAAGATCTTTTAATCCATAACATATTTGCCAAGTTTCATCAGAATGGGACAACAATTTCACATTTTGTGTCAAAAGCAGGGGCTATAGCTCTAAAATTTAAGGTCTGATGTGTACCAAAGTCGAGCTCATCCAAGAACTTTTAATCCTTAACACATAGTTTAAATTTCATCTCATGAATCGGACAAAAACTGTCTTGTGTGTACATACTATAGCTGGGCCATTCAACTTCTCACCCCGTCCGAAGGACCGAGCAACACTTTACTAGTCAACCATGCAAGTGCTACCACTGATAACAGAGGTAAAAATCCCAAGCATCAACTTGGCTAACATTGGGATTCAAACTCTGGACTTTCTAGTCGGGTGTCCAGTGTTCTTTTGAAAGCCAAATTTCTTACATCTCTGGTATGTAGTAAATTTTGGATTTTCATCTTTTTATACACACAAATAATTTTTAGAACATGATAGAAATAAATGAAAGTTAACATTTACACTTTAAAATTAAGCATTTCATCTGGGTATTCTGCAATCAAAAGGATGTCTGTCTGAAGGTCTTTGCTATGTTGAACCTGTTTTATTGTTGAATACAATTTTGAATTTGGCATTGTCAATTTTTGATTTTACAGCAATTTGCATGTTATCTGAATATTTGGCGATAGTTTTATAAACAACCATTGCAGTCTTTCTGTGGACAAAAGGTGATTTTTAAAAGATAGTCGTGTCTTGAGTGACAGATAACAGCATGTGCCCAGACTTGATCTGAAGGCAGTCGCTGTCATCTGTCACCATATTGTCACCCAATCGCCTATTTCTCATTTACAGGGAGCTGGAGACACATTCCTAGAATATAGCTAGTTATCTAAGTTAGGTTAACATATATAAGAGAGGGTTATAAAGAAATTGAAACGAAATAGAAGTTAACATTCTACTGTTGTTACAAATGAAATAAAATATGCCAGAAGTCTCAATCGAATGGCAGTCTCTAGCGTCTGGTTATTTCAGTTTATACTGATAGTATTTATTGCGCATGCGCTCCTGATAAGAATATGGCGTCATTGTTTGACATGACTTGTGAAATATGTCTAGCCTCGTTCTTCGAGTCCCTTGTTACAAATGACGCTGAAACGCATTATGGTGTACCAGTGGTCAAATGTTTATTTTGTCTTAAATTTGGATATCAGAAGCCCATATTTTCATCGATGTTGACTTAAATTGACAAATAATTGATGGTTTCAATGTCGATGACTTTGGATGATATTGAGTTAGAGGCTAAGAGGTTAACATCTTTCTGTAGTTACAAATGAAATGAAATAGAGGTTAACATCCTATTCTAGTTACAAATAAAATGAAATGTAATAGAGGTTAACATCCTACTCTAGTTACAAATGAAATGTAATAGAGGTTAACATCCTACTCTAGTTACAAATGAAATGAAGTAGAGGTTAACATCCTACTCTAGTTACAAATGAAATGAAATAGAGGTTAACACCTTACTGTAATTACAAAAGAAATGAAATAGAGGTTAACACCTTACTGTAATTACAAAAGAAATGAAATAGAGGTTAACACCTTACTGTAATTACAAAAGAAATGAAATAGAAGTTAACATTCTAATGTAATTACAAATAAAATGAAATAGAGGTTAACATCTTACTATAGTTACAAACCAAATGAAATAGTGCTGAATATGGCTAGTCTACTAGAAACTGTTGACTGAAAATCAAGGTTCCATGTACAAGTTGCTAGTGCACATAAAGGAATTCACAGAAGTGTAGGTGGGAAAGCCATGTCTAAGTAAAAGTCTCTCCCTCACATAGCATATGTAAAACATGTGGACATGATTTTAATGATAAAAGGATCCTTTTTGAAAGTTGTGCTTATTTAAAACTAGTGATTGTTTCCCATCAGGGCTTACACAGGCTTTCAATTTTTTCCCACCAAAATGATAGATAATTTTTATATCAAAAATGTTCATACCAGTATTTTTTTCCCCGCCAACTGGAATATTTTTAAAATGTGTGATAAAAAAGAGAACATGCATGTAACATGCAGGTACCGTAAAAATATCAGCATCTGAGTCTCTGATAGAATGATTTAAATTTTGCTTTTATTTGAAAGGGTTGCTTACAATATTATACTCTTGGATCACATTAGAGCATTTTGGCGTCGGTAATATGGAGCAAATGGTGAACTGTTTTCTCTCTAAAAAATCGTCACTATTTGACTCTTCCGTTTCTGACCAATTGTGATGATATGATTTGAATTAATAGTATCCGAGTAGATATGCTTGTATATTTTACATGCTGTATGAAGTCATGGTTCAACTATCAAAGTATTTAATTCTTTTCATAAAGAATTTGATGGCCATTCTGAATATTTCCATTGTGATTGACACTAGATGTAATGGTTAATCTAGGACATAACAATTTTAAGACTTTTTTTCCAACAGTTCCCAAAAAGCATCGCCAATACCCCAAAATGTTATCACAAAATTTAATTTTTAATTGCCAATACCCCAAAACGTTATCACCAAAATCAATTTTTAATCGCCAGTTTCATGTTTTTATCGCAAACTGCGACTTTGGCAACCGACAGCGTGAGCCCTATTTCCCATATAAATTGGGGGGTTGGGGATGGTTCAGTGGTTTAACACGTGCACGTAAAATCATAAGTGGCTTGGCTTTGATTGCCCACTTGAACATCACAAGAGTAAGGTCGCCTGTCTAACCTCGTCGGTTTTTTTCCGGTCTTCTGGTTTCCTCCCATAGTCATTATTGAAATAAAATTGAACTATATGTTAGTTCCGAAATGCTGAGTGGACATTACACCCGGCCATTTCTCTCTCCATATAAATTGTGTTCTGTTAATTGTGTATTTCTCAATTACTAAATGCCACTTAAAGATTAAAGTAATGATGTATGATTTGCATTTTTCAGAAAATATCAAATATCTCACGGATTAATCCATTTTAATATGTATTCAGATTGATTATTTAAATAACATTTAATTAAGAAAAACAAAATCAATATATCATCGCTAGATAATCTCCCAGCTTGGATTTAATTAGATTTAAAGCAGGCCCATCAATTTGCTTCACGGCAAATAAAGATGTCAACCATTTTGTTACATAGGAAACAGCATAGATCGGTGAAATTTTCAATTTATAATATCTTTGTAAAACTATTTTTGGACTGATATTCCTATTAGAGATTCAACTTCCACAATATTGTAGTTGGCAAGGAATTCTATAGTGGTAAAATAAAGGCATAGAATCTTTAAGATTTTAAACTTCCTTTAAGATTTTAAACATACATTATGCAAGAGCTAAATCTGCCTATTGCATATCTTTCTTTAGGCCTGAAATGTTATCTAAATTATTTATTAGACATTAAGTAACCTATCCAGACCATAATCAACTCTAAATTGCATCGCTAGCCTGCGATCTTCAGTGGATTATGAGTCGATTTACTGCATAACTTTCCTTCATGATTTAATGATTAAATGGATAATCGAGACTATGCTGTTTATCGTACTGACTTTAGTAATGATGTTCGAGGCTAGGCGGAAATTTCAAACTCTTAGTTCTCGGTTCATAGTGGATCAATTTGAATGAAATTTTCAGCAAATTGCCTTTACATTATCTAGTTTTTAACTATTATAGTGAGAACTGCCAACGCGTTATCGAATCTCCCATAATGTATCTTTAAATGGTAAGATGTGTAATAGTGCTATTGACTGATTCAGCAAATAACTTTGGTTTGGTTATAATAAAGATACTAAAAATTGTTTTGTAAGGTTTTTAGAAATATTCATCACACTTGAGTGGTTATAGCTGCCAGTTATTTATATGTAGCTGTATATATTAATTTTTGATACGGTCTATACATCTGATTTATACACTTAAATACGTAACACCACTTACCATGGTCAAAAACAGTTTTATACTGACCTTGGATATTCATATGTACACAGACATTCACGGTCTGTTAGGAGTTATTGCCCCTATATATACCAAACAAGATTGAGTGCGCCTCATTCAGCAATCTACACTTGAAGAGAGCACATCTTTACTGTCAACATGCTTTTGCTAGTAATTTTTGGTGCCTTTGAGAGATGCCACCAAAGACTACAAAAGGCAAGAAGGGAAAGGGTAAGATTGCCCCACCCCCTGTGTCTGAATCGGTCCAGCCAGAGCC